CCTGTCAAGACTCAGCTTAGAAGCCTGCTCGTTTTTGATACCCCTCCCTCACCCTATCCCCCGTTAGAAATGAACCACTCTCTCCTCTGCTCCCCTGGGTCTCTGTTACTGAAGTTATTCCATCCTGCTTCATATTGCAGCTGTTCAACTGTACATTCTTTGCAATGGACTGTAAGGTCCCTGAGGCAGGTAGGGAAACCAGTGTTCCCAGTTTGCCCAGGACGGTGGGGTTTCCTGGATGTGGGACTTTCGGTGCTAAAATCAGCAGAGTCCCAGGAAAACCTGGGTGGTTGGTCCCCCTACAGGGACCATACATGATTATTCTTTGTAAATCTTACTCCAACAAGAACAATGCATTGAACAAGGAAGATGCTCAATGAGTGTTTGCTATTGAATCCTGTTCCCCTAGGTCACGCAGTTTGAGGTGTGAAAACACGTAGCACTAACTTCAATAAACACGGTTTCTCATTTCTGTGGTAAGACCACCAACTACCTAAACCCCTCGCAGTCTTTCTAGGTATCCCCAGGATGTCTCACACGTGCTCAAATATGAGATCAGCCTACAGTACCTGCCCAGGCATCAGCTGCATGAAGCCAACTCACTGCTTCTCACCACAGTCAATGTTGTTGACACTCACTGATGCCACTGAGCTGCTACCAATGCTACGATACCTTCCACTGTGCCACCCACTGTTACATTAATTCCCCAGAAGTCCTGGCTTGAGCTCTCAACACCCCCTCATAATTTTGTTCTCTGTTAAGAAAACCTTTTCAGTTCTTTCTTGCAGCTCTGTCTCCCTGTGGGACTCACACGTGAATCCTCAACAGCTGCCTGAAGAACAAGACAGACCCTAGTGATGTGCCTGGTTTTCACAATCACACCATCCCTTTAGTGAATCAAATGTTTCTAAGTCTAGTTCTCCCATAAGCCAGTGATTCTCAACAGAGGGCAATTCTGTGTTCCTCCCCACCCCCTAGGACTTCTGGCAATGTCTGGAGACATTTTATATTACCACAGCTGGGGGAGTGCATCCAGTGAGGAGAGGCCGAGGATGCTGCTAAACATCCTACAATGCACAGGACAGCTTCTCCCACAATAAAGAATTATCTAGTCCAATATGTCAGTAGTGCTGAGGTTGAGAAACCCTACCTTAGGATGAGTTCTCTCCCTAAGGGTATGGCTCCTTGTTGGGTAAAGGATCTGTCTAGCTTTACCCAAAATAAGGTGGCCTTTGTCTTTGGCTCCAGAGAAATAACTCTTAGAGTAATTTGGGTGCCTTCGTCTGGGACTTCAGGCCACATAGGAAGGCTTGATTTAGCCTGTCATGCAGGACTGGCCAATAAAAGCCCAGAACACTAAGGCTCAGAGAGCTTCCTAGTCAGTGAAGGGAAGATGAAGTGCCTTTTCTGATACATGGCAGCTTCGCCCGAGAAACCTTCCCTGATCTCGTCCGTGCATCTCTTCCTTATGATGATCCTGATTTATGTCTTTTTACTATAATAAAACCGGTAGTCATAAGTTTAGTATCTTCCACGACTTCTACGAGTCAGTCCGGCAAATTTAATGAACCCAAGGACAGTGTCCTCTTAACCTCTGAGATCTGCCTAGCTTCAGGTGGCTAGGGTCAGAGACAAGTGTGTGCTGTGTGAGTGGCTGGTGTCAGAAATGATGGAAAAATGGGACCCGGGGGGTCTGATTGATCTCAGCCTTCTGGGAATTGGCTTTATGCTGATTCTCATCCATGAAGCTATTATTGCACTCCTCTTCCTAACAGACATCTGATCAACCTGCCCACCAGCTTTTCTCAGTCATATCTGAGTCCTGTCGTGAACTCAAGTTCAACAATCCATCCCACAGACATTTGACATTTGGAGTTTCGTTGCAGCATCTTCTGCCCTCCACCTGGCCATACAAACCACTAAGCTGTGTGGTAGTCCCAGACAGACCAAAGCTGTCAGATTACATAGGTACAACTACAACCTGTGAAGGTGACCTAGGGACAGATGAATACCAGGCTGGTTCTTAGGAGACCTGGATTGCATGCCTAGCTGACTCTATAGCTTAGTCAGGTCACTGGAACCCATCTATACACTAAGGGTATGACGGGGTCACTTACCTCTCTCCAAGGTGCAGTGTATAGATTAATAACAGAGCTCAGAGACCATGAAGTGGTTTGGACTTTTGGGAAATAAAAATATAGGCGTGTAAGTGACTGTGATGCATGTTTTCTGACTGAAAAAATTTATCTTAATTAGTTGCTGTACTCTGTGCTACAGTGTCGTTGGGGCGAAGAAATTGTTGATTTCCAGGAAAATAAAAAAGTCCTAAAAAGACAAAGCTTTTGAGAAATAGAGAATTTTTAGGCTTCCAGGTTAAGGTGGGAAAATGACCACAAGGAAATTGGGGAGCTAATGCAAAGCAACCATGTAAAGACAAAATCTTCCCTACAGGGGTCTTAGGAAGTAGGAGCTCCGTAAGATTCATTTCCAAACGTTTTAGATAAAACACTAACATGGTATTTATAGGGATGAGATATCAGGGACACTTAATTCAACTCAAGGAATCCTGGCAGCGTGTTTCCATATATAAATAGTTAATAGCACAAAGCCAGGAGTCTGCATATTCAGTGAATATGATTTTTCCTCCTTTCTCATCCCTTTCTCCTTACTTTTTTAACCTATCCTTAAAACTCAAACATATTCATGTGGGTAATCACTCACACACATGCTCTTCCTAACACGTGTCTCTCCAGGGGATGGAGTCTAGTGAGAATTGTATTTAAAAATAACCCTGAGACTCTTCAAACAGGCAGCCTGGTGCTCCTGTAGTGCTGTGCGCATACTCTCTTACAGCATTTATTTATCACATTATACATAGTTTTAGTTATGGACAGTAGATGGAGAACTTCTCAGGGGCAGAAATGTCTTACTCATTTTTTAAGATTCCCTGGTAGAGTATTGGAAACCCTGGTGGTGTAGTTGTTAAGTCCTATGGCTGCTAACCAAAAGGTTGGCAGTTTGAATCCACCAGGCGCTCCTTGGAAACTCTATGGGGCAGTTCTACTCTGTCCTATAGGGTCGCTATGAGTCAGAATCAACTTGACGGCAGTGGGTTTTATGGTGGGTAGAGTATTGGCACGTTTTATGTTGTCAACATATGTTTGTTGAATGAACGAAGGAAGGAAGGAATGGATAAACAGAATGGGAGCTTGGAGGTAGACTTCAGAACAAATTCTGCTTTGTCTTTTTGGGAAGCCTCCCCTAGTCAATGAAGTGTAAAGGCCCAGTGCATCTCCTTTGTATTTCTTGAAGACAGGAAGTGCTTTGAATAGATTTTAAAATACCAGAGTGGGATACAGCAAAGATGTTGCTAGAAAAATAGGATTGCTTTTTATTCAGGCTCAATCGGTGACTCTCTCCGGATTCTGGGATGGATTTTTTCCAGCTGCACACAGTTTTAAAGTACAGTTTCTCCAATCCTTGGCTCTGTGTATGTGCTTTTGTTCTACCCTGGCAAAGGAAGTTAAAGGATTATCTGGCAAGTTTGAGAGACGGATCCTTTATGTAAAAAGAGTTCTGCTGTCGGTAGGTGGTGATTCAGTCTGCAGGGACTGCAGCGATGAGCGAGCTCACAGTTTTGAAGCACATAGTCACTCCCCAGGTCTCTGTTCCTTGTCCCTTATCTGCTTCTAAGAGCCCCACTATCTTGTCTGGGTTCCCAAAGCAGCTCTTACCTTTCTCCCACAGGAGAGAAACAGAAATCTGAGAACCGAGCTTGTTAACAGGATGAACCCTGCATGTTTCTTGCCCAGGGTCAACATTATCTTCTCTGATATTCCTCCCATCTAGAATTCTCTTCTTCCTTCTCTGTACTATTCTAAATCCTGTCCATCCTTCAAGACCCCAACCATTCTAGCCCACAGGGATTGCCGTGCTTTCTGAATTCCATGTCATTTTAATCTGTGCCATGGAGTATCTGATTATTTTATTTGAGCTCATTTTATTTCTCAAGTAATGTTTTTCGAGGACAGGAACCATATTTTCTATTTCTTTGGATTTCTCCCAGCAACTTCTCAAGTCAATCACTCCTTTTTGATGTCATTATAAAAAGCATTGAAGCAACTGGCCTCTGCAAATAGAGCTCTGAGATTTCTGGAAAACTATGACGTGGAGTGTTGTCTAGGGCTTAAGGAAGAAAGCCAACACAGAGACAAAAAGAACAAAATGGACGGACATGCAAAATATCTCAAAATATGGGAATAGCAGCACAACTGGAAGAATGTAGTCGATGTCACCGAATTGTACATGTAGAAATTTTTGAAATGGTGTATCTTTGGCTATGTATATTTTCACCAAAGAAAAAAAGGTCCTCCAAGGTCGAGAAGGGAGAGTGTTGACATGTCATGGGGTTGTTAACCGATGTCATAAAACAATATGCGTACTGACTGTTTAATGAGAAACTTATTTGTTCTGTAAACCTTCACCTAAAGTACAATTAAAAAATTTTTTTTTAAATCTCAAAATATTATTCCATGCAGTAGAACCTTTCCATTAACTTGCTTTAGAAAACTGTCCTTAAAATTGTATACACACACATACACATACATGTGTACATATATATACATATACATTTACATAACACACATTTTATATACACACAAATTATATGAAAAGTACCACATTCACTTTATATATGTGTGTGTGTGTATGTATGTAGATATGTGTGTATATGTATATATTTGAATGTATATGTGGCAGATGGGAGCTGTGGCCCCTTGCATCTGAGTTTTGACTTATAATAGACCTGTACCCTGAAATTTCAGTGTTTTATAGGCAACTTTGACGACCAACTAGAAATGTCTCTAAGCCCCAGCTCTGCTATCCCAGCTGTCACTAAGTTTACTACAAAACCCTTTTGCACTTGATGAAAAAATTATTTGTTTGGCCTTGCCTGTTACTGTGAGAACAGGAACCAGACATACGTGTGTTTTGTTTTCTAGGGAGATGTGCATCCAACAGGATGGGCGAATTCATCTCACTGTTGTTTATTTTGGGAAAGAACAAATGAATGAGGTTAAAGGAATACTTGAAAACACTTCCAGGTGAGTATGGCATGGAACTGTAATAAGGAGTCATGGTAACTGAGCTCAGAAGTCTACATCCACGACTGAAACTTTTGCTTAATTTTCCTTAAGACTTGGGGGGGATTGGGAGATTGATTGGTTGCTGGCCACATGTAGGTCTCCTCCTTTCCCAGAAGACAAGCTGCCTCACACTGGTCCTCATTGTGCAGGGGTGATGACTTTGGCAGTTGAGATAAACTGCCTTGAGCAGCCAGGGCGGGGAGTGCGGGCTGCTTGGGGCTTCTGCATGACTGGGTATAATCTCTCTTAGCACCACAGATTTTGATACTTTATGTTGCAGAGTGGGAACTAGGGAGAGCACAGCTGCGTACTGAGTGCCGTCTAAGCCACAGCTTGTAAGGATAAGAGTTATATCCATGTTCAGATCTTACCCACTTAGCAAATGGTCTCACCCCTTTGCCTTTTATTCATTACACATTTTGAGAGATTATGGGGAAGCCAGAAGTGATGGCTGGGGCAGGATCCTTAATTAAACCTACTCAGTTGAACAGAAATGATTTAACCAAAAACTTTAGAGCTAAGGTTGTATATATTTACACCTAGTTGATCAGTTGCATGGAGCAATAAGTGTATTCAAAACAAAAAACAAAAACAAAAAAATCTTTCAAAAAACCTCATGGCAGTTTCCACCAGTAAGGAACCCAGTTGATACTGCCACACTCCACTCAGGTTTACCACTGAAGTTTGCAGGACTCCAGTTCAAGAATCAGATATACATTTCCTTCACAAGTTAATATTACACAGCGGCAGAAATATTCTGAATAGGTCCGTATGGTTTAAATATCCACAGAGCACTCTTGTTTTGAGTTTCTGGTAAATGGTAAGATGACAGTCAATTGAAGGACAAGATTCAAGATTAAGTGTACATTTTGTATTTATTTTCATGCTTTGTTACTAATTTTGTATTAGTAACACAAACCTTGGGCACAAGATCAGATGCTAATTACAATTACTCAAACATTCTGAAGCTGGGGTTGGCCAACTACAACCCGCTGGCCAAATTTTGCCTGCCACTTGTTTTTTGTCAGTAATGCTCTATTGGAACACAGCCATGCCCATTTGCTCACATACTGTTTATGCTGCTTTTGCCCTACAGCTGCGGAGTTGAGTAGTTGTGGCTATGACTGAGTGACTTGCAAAGCGTCAACTATTACTATCTGGCCCTTTACAAAAAAAAAATTTGCAGACCCCTAAAGCAATAAGGAGTTAACAGTTTAACACTAGTGACAGCCTGAGGCTATGGCCCTAGTCTCAGGGAGATCAAATAGAATGAAATAACTCAATATCCTGAATGTAAGTGAAATAGAAATCCCTCTACTCCAGTACATTACAGCTTCTTTCTCATCTCTGCCTCGGAATGACAGGCATGAATTATTAGAATTTATATCCTCTGCCCAGCAGGTAGCTTTCAGCATCTCTGGAAGTGTCCATCCCTGGGCACAAATTTCTTTTTTTTTTTTTTTTAAAGAGTCCCGGATGATTCTAACATGCAGCAAGGATATTGAAAATTATCTTACAAGAAGGTGGTAGTCCAAACCGGGGCTGCCCATGGGAGGCCTTGATTGCAGCCAGTTGCCCCATTCCAAAGTATTTTACAGTAGCTCTCCAGGTGACGAGGAGCCCTGGTGGCTCAGTGGTTAAAGTGCTCAGCTGTTAACTAAAAGGTCGGCAATTTGAACCCACTAGCCACTCCGGGGGAGAAAGATGTGGCAGTCTGCTTCCATAAAGGTTACAGCCTTGAAAACCCTATGGGGCAGTTCTACGCTGTCCTGTAGGGTCACCATAAGTCGGAATCAACTCGATGGCAATGGCTTTGGCTTTGGCTGTCTAGATGACTCTAGAATGCAGCCAGGATTGAGGACCTCTATCCTACTGAGTCTGGTATGGGACCTCCCCAGCACATCAAAGGATGATCAGATATCTGCCAATAGACACGTATAACCAAATTGACATGAGTCTGATTAATAAGTGGAAGACCAGTTTAGACATTGCAATGGGAAAAAGCCCTTCTAGTCACTGCCATGTCTAAGTACTGTTATCAAGGCACTCTTCTTGGTATCAAATTACCTGGCCAGCTGAATTCTCAGTCAGAAGGTTGTTTGGTGAGCAAAGAATCATAGAATCTGAATAATAAAGTAAAAACATTTGAGTGGCAGGAATATTTTACTTAAAATTTAGAAAACTTCCGGAGATTAACCTACTGCACAACAGAGACCATGGCAATGGAGACTGAACCAATCAGTGCTATATAAACTTTGGAAAAATTAATTTTAACCCCGTTTTCTGTGCTGGTTCCTCATTCTGTTAATGTGTGCTATCTGTATTGTTATTGTCACTGATGCTTTGGGACACATCCTGCCTCTTTGATCAGACTGCCTCTTGCAGGAATACTCCCACTGCTGCAGCCAGCCTGAGATGACTTCGTACTGCCACACAGCCACTCCACCTTCCAGATGCATCTTCCTGTATCACCCATTGCCTTAGCCTGGCACCCAGACTGGCTCTTTCTTGTTGTTGTTAGGTGCTGTTGAGTTGGCCCTCAAATCATGAGTACCTTATGCACGATGGAACAAAACACTGCCCAGTCCTGTGCCATCCCCATAATCAGATGCAGATTGGACCATTATGGTCTGTAGGGTTTTCATTGGCTGATTTTCAGGAGTAGATCACCAGGCCTTTCTTCCTAGTCCATTATAATCTGGAAGCTCCACTGAAACCTTTACAGCATCATAGCAACACACAAGCCTCCACTGACAGACCCCCCATGCATGAGGTGCATTGACTGGGAATCGAACCTGGGTCTCCCTCCCATGTGGAAGGTGAGAATTCTACCACTGAACCACCAATGCTTCTAAACTTGTCTTTGTGGCTTACTGCACCCCAGCCAGCCAAACTGTTAATACTCTTTGTGATTGTCAGGGCATAGTTTGCCCCATTTGTCTTCCCTCTTTTTATTTTCCTGTACTTAGAATTTCCACCGCCCTCCTTTCTGCTGATTAAACCTCCCCACCATTCCATCCCCTTCTAAATGCCCCCCTTCTGGCACTCATCCTGACTATCCTCGCACTCTCTTCTCTGAACTCTGATTACATTCACCTGTAGCACCTCTTATACATGGCACTTTGCATATGACTTGGCTAGCTACATTTTTTTCTATTGTCCTAACTTTGGGACTAGATTGTAAACTGCTTAATAAATGGGACTGTATCTTATGCTTCTTTGAAACTCCGGTGCTATGCACAGTGCCTTACACAGAAAATGTTCAGTATTTGTTCATCAAGGGAAGGATAATACCAGGTATATAGTAAATTTGTACACATAGAAGTCTATATGTAAATATATATGAGGTTTTATTTAAATATGTTTTTTGTCATTCCCTGAATGGTAAAACTTTTGTTAAAAGGTATCTTATCTTTGAATAATAAGAATTGTTATTTATATGAATTATCTTATTTAATATTCACAGCAACCTTATGAGATAGATGCTGTGGTTATTCCCACTTTATAGCTGAGGAAATTGTGGAGCCAGGAGCTGAATCTCATTTAATAAGCTCTAGAATTTAACACCGTAGCAAATTTTCACTCCAGTGTGCCCCTTCTCAAAAGCCATACTTGTTAGTTGAAGGTGATAAGATTTGAAATCTTATTTATAAATGTATTCTATTTGGAGATCAGTATTGTGATTAAACTGTTCTAAATTTAGTTAAATGCATATATTTTAAGAACATCTAAAATATCTAGTTTAATGACTAGCGTGCAGTATTTTACACACACACATACACACACACACACTCTCTCTCTCTCTCCCCTAGGCTTATGCTTACTCAGTTAAGCATTAAATTTCAGTTGATTGCTATAGATCAGTGTTTTGCAAACTGCAGTTTAGGATTCATTAGTGAGTTGTGAAATCACTTTAGTAGGTCATGTCCAGTGTTTATAAAAAGAAAAAATTGAAATAGAATAGGATCGAGAATATCAGAGTACATCACAAGTAAGGATACATATTGTTTCATGAAACTTTCAGTGTGTGTGTGTGTGTACATGTGTACTGGGTCATGATGTAGAATATACCCCTTTGTATGAGTTGTGGTCAACATGCTCGAAAGCCACTGCTGTAGATAATAGCACAAATCAGTTCTCAATACCAAACCAAAAACTAAGCCCATTGCCGTCGAGTCAATTCCGACTCATAGCGACCCTGTAGGACAGAGTAGAACTACCTCACAGAGTTTCCAAGGCTGTAATCTTTACAGAAGTAGACTACTACATCTTTCTCCCATGGGTTTGAACCACTGACCTTCCAGTTAGCGGCTGAGCACTTTAACCACTGTGCCACCAGGACTCCCAGTTCTCAATACTTGAAGTATTCTACAGATTTCTCAATACTAAGCTTCAGTTAAGCTTAGATCAAAGCCTAGCTTAGTAGTTCTCAAATTCAGGTGTATATTGGAACTGCTTGAGGTGCTTTCAAGAATGTATATTCCTGGGGCCCAGTCCCAGAAGTTTTGCATCAATAGACCTGAGATGAAGCCTGGGAAGCAATGCTTATAGCAAGTTACCCCTGTGATGCTGATGTGGGTGGTCCGTGCCCTGCACTTTGAGAAACACTGGCCAGGGTAGATATTTGTTTGGAGTTTTGTGCTGGGAAAGTAAAAAAACTATAACTAGTAGATGAATTGGTATGACTTGGCATTTACGACGTTGCCACCCCATCTTTGTCCAGTCATGAGGATGCAAAGGCATCTTTCAGAGGACTTATCTCTAAGATTGGGGTGCTAAAAATGAGACACTGCCCTACACTTAAAGTATGTGATAGTCAGAGAGAGAAGTATTTTGTGTTTGTGTTTTGTTGTTGTGTGTCGGTATTTCATGCCTCGTTTGAAGGGATTTGTTGGACAAGCACCCCCACGAAGATTTTATCAGGACATCACCAAAGAAAATTTGGAGGGAACGTTTGG